ATACACCTGTTGATTCATTCACCTGAATTTCCGTTGTGTAATCTGTGATGTCGCTGGTTACTTCATCTAAGGAATTTGCTGTTGATTCATCAGCAGTGCCAGCAGGGGCAACAGTTGAATCTACAGACATAACTGTTGATTCGTCCACCGGAACTTCCGTTTTGTAATCTGTGGTGACGCTGGTTACCTCATCCAAAGAATTTGCTGTGGTTTCTTTCACAGCATCAACAGGTGCAGCAGTCGAACCTGTAGATACAACTGTTGTTTCATAAATCCAAGCTTCATCTGTAGAATCTGCGTTATCGTTGGTTGTATCATCCATGGAATTTGCTGTTGTTTCATCAGCAGTACCAGCAGCGGCATCAGTCGAATCTGAAGACAAAACTGTGGTTTCGTCAACTTGAGCTTCAGTTGTAGAATCTGCGAGATCGTTGGTTGTATCATCCATGGAGTTTGCTGTTGTTTCGTCAGGATTATTAGCAGGGGCGGCAGTCGAATTTGCAGACATAGCTGTTGACTCATCAGCCTGAACTTCCGTTGTGTAATCCGTTGTATAGCTGGTTACTTCATCCAAGGAATTTGCTGTGGTTTCATCCACAGCATCAATAGGTGCATCAGTCGGATCTGTAGATATAACTGTTGTTTCATCAACTCGAGCTTCAGTTGTAGAATCTGCGGGATCGTTGGTTGTATCATCCATGAAGTTTACTGTTGTTTCATCAGCATTATCAGCAGGGGCGGCAGTCGAATCTATAGATATAACTGTTGATTCATCAGCCTGAAATTCCGTTGAGTAATCTGTGATGTCACTGGTTACTTCAACCAAGGAATTTGCTGTTGTTTCGTCAGCAGTATTAGCAAAGGCAGTAGTCGAATCTACAGACATAACTGTTGATTCGTCCACCTGAACTTCCGTTGTGTAATTTGTGGTGACGCTGGTTACCTCATCCAAGGAGTTTGCTGTTGTTTCATCCACAGCATCGACAGGTGCAGCAGTCGGATCTGTAGATACAACTGTTGTTTCATCAACCCGAGCTTCAGTTGTGTAAACTGTG